TTTTTTTTTTTTTTCATTATAACTATTGTAATTTTCTCGTTAATTGACAATCATGAAATATTCATAGAAATAATGATTTTTTCACGTGAAATTATATCGTTTGTAATTTACAATTTTTTTTTTCTTTCCTACGGAATCGAACATTAAAAATAAATATTAATAATTATCATTTACACGTATTTTATCAAATTTAAAGATCAAGAAATCTGTGTCAAATATATTATAAAGAACATAGTCGGTGCTACTTAAAGATTACTCTTCATACGAAGGTAAATCGAAAGTATGAGATATGATAACAAATTCTCGTACTATAAAATAACTATAAAATTGTAACTGAACCGTGCGATTTTTATATTTTTGTAAAAAATTTAATAAAAATTGATATTTCCATTTACAGTATAAATAATCACTTTCTGCATGGTTATAAGAATTATCGATTTTCTTTAAAAATACTTTTATATCATTCTATATAAAATAAATTTTAGCTATATTAGCTTCTATCTTAGAATGGTGATTTTGAAATCAATATAATATAATTTCTTTTTCTATTGCTACTTATAAAGGCAGAATAATGTAATAATAGTAGGTAGATAAGATAATCAATCAACTATTCAAACTAGTAAGGAAATTCGATATTCAACACTTTTAAAATATTAAAGTATAATTTCATAAAAGTCTGGTTCATATTTCCAGAATTATCCTCTATTCAAATGTTCTTTTCAATTTTAAAAATAAACGGTTTCCATACTTTCAATCTACTTCGAACAAGAAATTGTCTTTCTTTCAATTACCATTAAGTTTACACCGCAACTTGTATTATCAATTACACAATTGAACAAACGTAAAAATGGAATAAAGGACAAGGGGAGAGGGTGGCGCGTTCACGCACAAAATCGACTTACAGAAAAACGGAGAACAATGAGATGGAATTTGTAAAAAGTCACAATCAAAAAAAGTCGACAAGTAATGTGTACATTAATTTATGTAATATTCCACTCTTTCCGTAATATACACGCCAAGACAAGATTGAAACCAAAAACCTCGCCCACCTCGCGGATATAAATTAACGCGTGCAAGTCGAGCACGTCTGAAACAATACAATCAGGAGAGAAACATAAGGATCGTAAACTCGGTAACAATTCTCGTTTTTTTTTTTTTTTTTTTTTTTTTTCGGTATACCACACCAGCGTGCGCGTGATACATCGACAATGTATGTACAATGTATGTTACACAACGGATCTCTATTATTCGATCACACACAACATGTGTCCTTTCGAGCTTACAACGGTAATACAGGCGTGTGTACGATTTGGAACATGGGGACGAAAAAAAAAAAAAAAAGAAAACGAAACATATTATATACTCGTAATGAAAATAATAATCATCCCTAAAAACGTGTCATCATCCGATCCCCGGTGTGATTACAATACGCTCTCGCTCTTTCGTTCGAAATCGATGGAAAATAATTTACGGAACCGCGTCTTCGGCAAAATTTATATTCTACAAATACAATATAAACGGAGGAAGGTATTGTATTCTGTCTGTGTACGTGTACATGTATGTTATCTGTGTGTATCGTTTTCTTAATTCGCATCGAATTCTGATAGGTGACAAAAAAATAGATCGCACAGACTTCCATATTGATGTATATGCTCTTTATATATGTGTATGTGTGTGCGCGCGTTCCTTTTATATATGTGTACATGTGTTTCGTGTATATGTATCTGTATAAGTGTCACGTGTGTCGAAAGGACAGGAAAACGAATTCAGTCGTAACAGCTAGCATTTTTTTTTTTTGTTTTCCATAGCACATACATTCATTATACGTAGATTGTTCATAGCTTAATGTGTGGTTCCTCTATTTTTTTTTTTTTTTTGGTTTATAGCAACGGCGAATACCCTAGAGCTTTTTATTTTTTTTTTCCTTTTTTTTTTTGGTCAGATTAACAAATGTAGGGGCGGTTCCAGGCGGCCGCCGATACGTCGTTCGTGCTCGCGAGCCGGATGCCGAGCACGAACGACTGAGCCCATGTATCGTTGGCAGGTTGTTGGGATCCATTTTGTTCGAAACGGGAGGCCAAGGTCCAATCATCCGGGAAATGGCCGGCCTCCCGTTGAAGGGAAAATTTTGCTTCTGCTCTGGCGAAATGTTTCTTTTTTTTTTTTTCTTTTTTTTCCGCGCGATCGGATACCTCGTTTGAGAAGACACTCGGGGAGGGGAAGAGGGAGAGGAAGAAGGAGGAGGAGGAGGAGGAAGAGGAGGAGGAGGAGGAAGAGGAGGAGGAGGAGGAAGGAAAGATTCTACAAAGTAGCTAAAGAGATGCAGGAGCGTATTTCTACAAGCGTCTCGTCTCGTAAAACGCAAAAATTAAAAGACCCTCGCGCACATCTACTCCTATTTGACACGTTTCCATACATTTTTTTTTTACGACGGTTCGCGCGCGAAACGCATCGTCGAATTTCGGTCGACTTTTTTTTTTTTAACTTTCGATCGATCGGAACGCACGCGACACGTTTTTTTATTCTCCTCTTTTCTTTCTATTTTTTTTTTTTTTTTCTGTTTCGTTTCCCCCAAAAAATCGGTATAACTCCTAAACAGGGACGATCGTTCATCTAGAATGTCCGGCATGTAACAAACAGCACCTGGTTTCTATTCTTTCTCTGACGCTCAGAATAACGATTTGTTTGTTTTGTATCTTGTTTTTTTCTGTTTTTTTTTTTTTTGTCTTTTTTTTCTTATTGTTACCATTTTTACTCCTACATTTACAGTATTATGTACAACTGTTTGGCACCGGAATTGTCTCTTAATCGAATTGATGCCAACTAAGGGTCCAATATGAACACGATCCACGACGTATTAATCGGAACGATGCGTACGATTAATCACTTCGTTCCCGATCGAATCAGCCGCTCTTCAAAAATCACTTTCTCTCTTCGTATATACGAATCGTTGCCGAAAATCACCGACGATTCCTATAGACGATCTTCCCGATCCTGTATGTGTCTCACGTTTTTCTTTTTTTTTTTTTTTCTTCTTTTTCTTCTTCTTCTTCTTCTCTTCTACCACCAGAGAATCAACCCTGCATATCGAGAGGTGTCCAAACAGCGTTGAAAGTGTTAGCACGTTAGAAGTTCCTTGTTTTTTTTTTTTGGCATAGTTTAGAAATGTACATGTGTGTCCATCTTTGCTTATCGCAACCACGTTTCAGTGGAATGTAGTGTTTGCCTATCCCTGTGGCTCCGGTAAAATTGATTCTTTCGATTGGACAGAGAACATTTTTGCCAGAGCCATGAAGTGAGAACGTTGCCAAGTCGCCACCGACCTTCCTTCTCTTTCATTTACCGACGAATTTTTCGTATGAAATATTTTGTTACGAAGCACGAATCCCATCAAGTGGGGGATCGTGAGATCGTGTGAGATCGTCATCGAGACGAGTTGGCAAAACGTTCAGCCGCCAATTTAAACTCTACCGGAAACGCGTCACATTTAACTATTTTTTTTTTTTTTCTTATTCCAGATTAATTTTCTTTTGTTTTCCACGCTCTCTTTTCCATCCTCCTCGTTCACCATTCATCCCACTTTCTACCCTCTCTTCTCCCTCTTTTCGATTTTATTTTATTATCTCGT